ATTAACAATATCTGAAGAATATGGAGTGTTGCTCTCAAATTTTATCCTATTTTCATCAAATGGAAAGCTTTGCTTTTTCCAGATCATTTGCCTTATTGGGATGCGTTGGTCTGTGGCAGAAGATGAGACATGAATATTCTCATCATCACATATAAGTGGAGGATCTGATCTGTCTCCATCATTACCAGTCTCATCATCATTAGTAAGTTCATAATCATCTTCTAGTACCTGTAGTAACTCTTCTCTCGTGGGATAGAAGTCCAAATCATCTCCTTCGGACTCACAGTCATCCTCTGATATGTCACCTGCTTCCAATCTTAGAAGAATATCTTCTATTTGACCATCCGAGCATGCTTTCGAAGCCATCGCTGTAAAAAGCACATAAAACCATGCATAAACATGCAACCACCACCAAAATGATCGCATACAATAACACACCAATTATCATGCCGTTACTGCATACTGTATCATTTTTGAAACAGTACATTATTTGAGAAAAAATAATATAATTCAATTATATAACCAAAAAGTAGAAGCATAATCAAAAAATAAACAAACTTACCAATACAATGTATTTTTGTACGAATAAAAGTCCACTCAATTTAATTTTAATCACAAACTGAAAATTTTCGTAAACGGTAGTTCGCGCCAACGACGCTCCAATATTTTGAAAATGACATTTCGACCCGCGTACTACTCTATAGCCGTTATTTTTTTAATTCACTTAAATCGATTATAGACCAAGACCTCAAATTACCATACAGCCAAGTCCAAACATTACAAATAATTGTTTGACAAGGGCATAAAGTTAATGTTTCATTTTTGATACGCTATGCATTTAAGGGTTCAATTTCACCCTATATATTAAAGAAGACATCCCTTTTAATAACGCTAGCGGTATTCTTCTGAAATTATCTTCCAGTTTTGCTGTCATCGCTCTTTATCGCTCGCCGTCTCAAAGAGACATAGACAACTTCTTATGTTGCCTTGATAATACTTTGAAAAACTTAAAGTCTTATGATAATATCGTAATTGTGGGTGATGTCAATATTAACATTGCTCGAGATAATAACGACCCTCAATGTGATTACTATCTAAATGCCGTAGCGCTTCATGGTTTGTTGCCGGCACATATCCTCCCTACTCGAAATAGGAATTGTCTTGATCATGTGATTATGAAAACAAAATCCAATGCAGTGACCTTAGTGTTAGACTCACTAATAACAGATTATGCCGCTGTTGTTCTTTGCTCTAGTCATAAAACAAAGACCCTTAAAAATCGCTCAACAACTAAACGCATTAATGTCACAGCCTGCGTTGAGAGCCTAAATGAAATTGACTTTTCTCCAATACTTACATGTTCTGATCCTGAATTAGCAACAAATATTTTTGTTGACTTAGTTTCGAATGTAGTAAAAAATCATACACAAAATTCCATTATTCCTAGTAGAAAAAGGATTATTAAGCCTTGGATCACACCTGGTTTACTGCGTTGTTTAAGACATCGTGACAAATTATATCAAAATACAAAAAAAGAACCCAATAATCTTATTCTTCTTACGACTTATAAAAGATATAAAAAATTTTGTAACAATTTAATAAAGAAAATAAAACGGCAATACGAAATCAAACAATTTGAACTAGCTAAAAATAATACAAAAGTAACCTGGGATTTAATAAAAAAGGTGACAAATCTTAATAAATCACTAAACCCATCAAAAGAATTGCTAACATTATCTAGTGACTCATCTTCCTCAGTTGACGTAGTAAACATTTTTTTCGCAAACGTAGGTGAAAGTCTGGCATCGAAAATTGATTCTTCTTCTGTAAGTCCTGTTTTTGAATCTTTATTTGGCAACACAAATCCCCCGCTTAGCTCTATGACTCTCTTTAGTACCGACTGCGAAGAAATTGATCGGTTGATTGATGGATTGAAGGGCACATCTGCTACCGGCCAGATGGTATCTCCGCATCGTTGATAAAGGCAGCCAAATTCACTCTTTTACCAGTACTTACACATATTTTTAACCTATGTCTTTCGTGTGGTATCTTCCCGCAAGCAATGAAAAAGGCTCTAGTTCATCCAGTTTTTAAGTCAGGAAGTAGAGACTGTGTTTCAAATTATCGTCCAATATCGGTACTGACGACGTTATCAAAACTTTTGGAAAAAATAGTCAATACTAGACTGACAGGATACTTAACGGATAGGCAAATTATAGCTGCTAATCAGTTCGGGTTCACAAAGGGTAAGTCTACTGAAGATGCAGTGTTATCATTCACCGAAACAGTTGTTACAAACCTCACGAACAAACAAAAATCAATTGGTATCTTCCTGGACTTGTCAAAGGCATTTGACACTGTTTCCATTCCAATTTTGATTAGAAAGCTGGAGAATATTGGTGTGAGAGGTACTGCTTTGGACATGTTCAGTAGCTATTTAAGTAACCGGTCACAGTGCGTTCTGGTGGATGGAATCATTAGTAATGAAGTAGAGCTAAAGTTCGGTGTGCCTCAGGGTAGCGTCCTAGGGCCCTACTCTCTTTTTAGTTTACATGAATGATCTCTGCTATATGTCATTGCCAAACTGCAAAATTATTACCTACGCAGATGACACAGTTCTACTGGCTCACGGTAGCGACTGGTTGGAGACTAAAAAATATGCTGAATATGCTCTTGGTGCTGTTAATGCATGGTTGATCTACAACTCCCTTACTCTCAACTTAGACAAGACAAACTATATGGCTTTTGCACCAAAATGTTCATCTCTTCCTGCGCCTAACTTTATTATCCAAGCTCATAATCAGAACTGCCCCGGAATGTCAAATTGTGGATGTATGCTACTGCAGAGTAAATTAAAACTTAAGTACCTCGGTGTTTGGCTGGATTACTCACTCACATGGGATGAGCATATTAAGGTAACTTCTAACCGTACGAGGAAACTCATGTATATTTTTACAACCCTACGTAATTTACTTGATGCTTCTACACTTAAATCTGTATATTTGGCCCTCGCTCAGTCCGTATTATCATACTGTGTTACGGTATGGGGGGGAGCCAATAAGTCATTTTTATTACGCCTTGAAAGAGCTCAAAGAGGTGTGTTAAAAGTCCAATTTTCAATTATATGACTGGTGTACTAACTGTGCGTCAGTTATTCATCATGCTGGTCTTACTTCGCAAACATTCCCAACTTCCATTCAACCCCGACCATTTCCATAACAAACGTAGATCGGATATAGTCTGTAGAAATAAATATGTTAGGTTGGAGCTCGCAAAACGTCATTTTCACTACCTCTCTCCCCGTTTATACAATAAAGTAAATAAAATATTAAATATTTATCCACTTACTTTTAAGGAATGTAAACTGCGGATCACTGTTTGGCTGAAGGGGCTTTCATATACAGAAACAGAGGTACTTATAAATAATTAATTATAAGACTGTTAAACGTCGAAATACTGCTAAAGCAGCTTTGCGTGCTGTTTGTTATCAAGTAAACAATACCTATTCCAAAAAAAATTAAAGTATATATTGTTAAAACTAATTTGAATGTGAAAAAGACTTTACCTCGTCAACGTGATAATCATCTTAAAATAAAATAATTTCAATTTGATTTAACTATTTATAAAAATGAACATTCCAAAATCTCATTTACTCATTAATAAATATAATCTTTAAATATATCAAAAAAATAGCTTTAATTTACAATAATGACATTAAAAAAAATATATTTGAATTAGTGGATAGTATAGGTATAAATTCTTTCTATTGTCAGGTTATAAAAATAAATAAAAAAACAACTTAAATTCAGATTTAAACACAATAATTCTACTTATCAAAAGAGTTCATAATGGAGTTTATCGCTCATGTTACAGCATTTTTGTCGCTCATGAACTGGAGTCGCGCCCTATGTAGATCTATTTGTTTCTTCTACAACGATTCACGCCTGCTGACTTGCTCCGCCCCTTTTCCTACCACTGATCCTGGTCGCGCTTATCAGTCGCTCGAAATGAATTGTTAGTTCAGTTGATGGCCAGCGTATGGTACTGCTGGACGTTTTTACTATTTAATAAACAAAATAATGATGTTCGTATGCTTTGATAACTATTCTATATCATGATTTATTGGTTTGTAGTGTCCAGGTAGGTTTAATATTGTAATTTTAATAGATTTGTATTATCTGTGTTTACCTACCTTCTAATGTGAGCATAAAAATTCAAATGTTATATTTTAGTCCTTATTTTCATTTTTTGGTAAAATTTAGTATTGGTTTGTTATAATATTGATAAAAATGCACTCGGACATATTTTTTGTTTTGAAATTACCTTCGATGGATTTGAAATTGTGGATATTTTTGTCTCATTTTAATTTTCTCTCTATACAGATTGTTTTAATTAATTTTATACATTGATAGGAACACTGTTTCATATTATACGGGATTGGGCGTTAATTCTGCAACACAGTTTTTGTAAAACTAAAGCAGTTTTAACGATTCATAATTTTATGTACATTGCACTTGTTCCAAATAAAGTTATTATAATATTATTATTATTATGTTCTTCTTATCTATAATAGATTGAAAAGATGAATTAAATCGGTAAACTCGTTCCCAAGATATGGTGTGAAAAAGGAAATAGGGATTTTTTTTATTTATAATATAGATGATTATATTATTTACGAGATAGATGATTATATACGAGAAGAGTGGAGTAATGAGACTCACCAGTTATTATGTCACACTAATATTATAAAGACAAAAGTTTGTGAGTGCGTATTCCTTACTTTTTTTTTTTCTATTTCTTCACGTCTAAACGGCTGGAGGGGTTTAAATAAAATTGGTATGGAGTTAGCTGACACCCTGGATTAACACATAGGCTACGTTTTACTGCGGGAGAACATCCCTAATAAACCGCAGGTAACATCGTGGGGCACATCTAGTATATAATAAAGATGATTATTTAATAGTGTCCATATATGAGAAGAGTGGAGTAATGAAACTCACCAGTTATGATGTCAATGGGGTCTAAAGCCGCAGCGAGAGCTTGCCAGCGCAGCGGTGGTGGGTCTCTCTCTTCCGGATTCCGAACAGTAACCGCTAGTTCAGGGCTAACGCGGTGCGACAGCAACAACGGCGGCAGTATGACCGCAAAACGTCCACCCATAGACTCGTTGTATTGCGACAATATACCCGACCAGTGATACGGTGACAGCCTGACAATAGAAACGGTTTGAACTTTACACTTACCCATTTTGAACAGCAGTAACTTAAAAGGGGGCCGGGACAAATTCGAGTCAGTGTTTGATACATAGGCATGCAGTTTTCCTAGCTATGTGTTGAATTACTTAGCATTATCTGGACTTAAGTTCAATTGCAAATAAATAGTGACAAAAGGATTAAGATCCATCGGCTGTAGTCTCGGAAACGGTCGATGGATAAGTTAGCATTTGGTTAAATCAAACGGGTTTTAACGTATATCAACGTTTAAATAAAAATCGTTGAACCCTCTTTGGAATTCTTTAAATTAAGCTTACTGATAGTTTAATGACCAAATATTCTTAATACTACAAAGAGAGCTACCACAGACGTAACGAACAATGTTCGTTACGTCTGTGGTAGCCTACAAACATTTCGTAGAGGAAAAGTTAGATTTTATACGATTAAAAAATCAATATTTGCGGTCTATAATTGCATTCATATATCTTAAATAAGCAAACAAAAAGTTAAGTAAACCTACTACAAGTGTACAAAAGTTTTTTCATTAATTATCATTTTTGATTAATGATTATCTTCATTCTGAGCCAAATTTGCTGCATTTTCGTCTCAGAATTAATTAACTTGGCCTTGGCTAACTCTATGAGTGTGATTTGGAATTTTCCGAAATGGGTATTTAAAAATATATATTATTTAAAAATTACCTTGACCAAGGTCTTGAATGTGGCGAATGTTTAAATATGATCGTGTCATTTGCATCGACTGGCGACTTCTCTTTTTCGATTATGTTCGGCAATGGCGAAAATACTAGAGGATTATTTTCGCTGGTATTGAAGGACATGAATAAAGATTGCCTCAGCTCCTTTTTTTGCTGATTATTCGCATATACGTCTTTGTTTGTGTCGCTCCTCTCGGTGCTTGCTATGAAGTAATCGACCACTCCCGAATTGTAGACTATCATAGATATCCACACCAGCATCCACACCATAAAAGCTCTTTGAAAAAATCGTGTTCTCGCCCAAAGATTAACTAACCGTATACGCTTAGGTACTCTATTATCCTGATGTCCGGGGCTTGCATTTCTTTTTGCTACTACATCGGTCGGACTTGACTGCGCCAACCCGTTCAGTCTCGGATGAGATTTAGATTTTTTCATTATTTGGGGCGATATATTATTTTCATCTACATAATTCTTACTGAACCGCCAATTTAAAGCATTGGAGGCGTTAAAATAATCTTTCAAGTGCAACTTATCGTTTTGGTCCTGAAAGCATTCCATTCGGCAAACATCTATGCCTAGTATCGTAGCGAAGAACACCAATTGTACGAAATAATCAGATATGAGGCTTACAATCATGAAAATCGAGAACTCCTGGATAAATGGCACAAACGTGAAGAAGCTGACAGTGAATATTGTGATTTCAGTGAGCAAGTTCTTGGTAATAGACCAGCCTTCTTTGCTCAGGCCCTGCGCTAGTCGTATCTTGACGTCGAGCCTCGAATCCGTTGATGTAACACTCTTGGTGAGTACCAACACATTTTCAAGTCCCATAATTATGACTAGATATGGGAATATTTCTTTGCCTTGGAGGCTCAAAGAAAATCCAAAATAAAAACAGATACCCATGGACATAGATAAACTACCGGCTACAGTTACTACAGCACATGCCGCAAGACCAAATTTTGATTTGATGAACTCGATTTTCCTCACTGAAAAGTAAACATACAAAAGCAACCCTACAAAGGTTATCATAAGGGGGACCAGTTCTCTATAATTGAATTGGCCTGGATAATATATTAATGTTACTTCATTGATACGCTTGTATGTTTCTTGATACAATGGGTACATTTCTTTTAATTTTTTGCTGAGAGATTGAATGAATCTGCAACAATTATAAACACGAATGGTGTTATTGGGTATATAGGTACTTTTTGCAATAAAAGTGACACACTCAAAATGAAGTATCGAGTTTTTTTAATATGTAATTAAAAAAAATCGACGACTTAATATTTCAAAATAGTTATGACTTTTAGAAGCTACGACTTATATCCCCATATTAATAAACGAGGAATAAGCTTAGACTAGTTACGCCGTGTTTTGTTCATGTCACTCAAAGGCCATTTGTAATTCAATAAACAGAGACAAAACATGCAGTAACTTATAAAAGCTTATTCTACTTTATTAATAAGGTGGATAGAGTGGGCTAAAAGTCTCAGCCCACTTACACAACTCCGCGCGAACACCACTCCCACCCAACACCGTGCGGTGACGGAGAAAGAATACCACTCACCGCCCCTTCACTTCCCGCGGGTGTCGTAAGAAGCGACTGAGGGATATCAGAGCTTCCATCTGCTCTCCTGGTGGTAGGGTGCCTAACACCCGCCTGGTTTGTTACCACCGTACGCATGGTGAAAAACCCGTGAAGTGCTTCACGCGCGTTTCGGGATCAGCCAGCGTACAACCAGAGCTCGAGTGGAGATTGCCGCGACAGATTCGGTCCAGTGGAGGCATCCGTCGAACCGATGCCGGGAGGACTGCATCGACCCACCGGCCAGGGAGACCCGTAGAAACGGCTGTCCCGCTGGCCGCCCGTGGCACAGTACAGGGGCCCGAGCGTTCCTAACCAGTTCGTGAGGCTGCCCTATCATGTCACGCATAATCTCGGGGTGGACCGTCGTGCCGGTTGGTGAACGGGGCGTGGGGTCCCGGCGGCCACTCCCGGGAGGGTGCGGGGGCCCTTCCGTCCGTTGGGTCGGCGTATCTCTTTCGCAGGCAGTTACTCGGGAAAACGTGCCTCCATATATTTGCCTGTCTTTGTCGCGACTAACTCCACTCGATTCACGTCTCTCAACTTTTTTCTCATGATGGCAGCCCGTAAAATAAAGTTTGGTTGTACAGCGGTGCACACCCCCACGCCTTCCGCGCTGTTTGAGGTTGAGTTCTGTAATATACGCGGACTCCACTCTAACCTCAATGCTGTCCACCACCATCTTGAGACAGCACGGCCAGCACTATTGTTTCTCACGGAGACACAAATACTTCCGCCCGCTGACACAGGCTACCTTAAATATCCCGGCTACGCGCTTGAAGAATCCTTCAAAGCAAAAGCCGGCGTATGCCTGTATGTTCGGGCGGATGTTTGTTGTCGCCGTTTGAGCTGCCTGGAAGACCCCTCCTTTTCCATGTTGGCGGTACATGTAGACTCTGGTCCTTTGGCCAGAGTCTACGTGTGCCTCTACAATCTCACACCGGCGACGCTGAGACAACTCGACTGTTTGACCACCTCAGTAGGGTAGCAGATGATGCCCAGGCGCAATTTCCCAACGCAGAACTGGTGTTTTTGGGAGACTTTAACGCCCACCACGGTTTGTGGCTTGGCTCTTCCAAAACTGACCATGCAGGGATCTCTGCCCATGCATTCGCTCTCACGCACGACCTGACACAACTGGTTGATCAGCCCACCAGGATCCCAGATATAGCAAGTCAAGCGCCTTCTTTACTAGACCTTCTGCTTACGACCCATCCGCAGGAGTATCAGATTGTGGTTCGAGCCCCACTGGGTTCATCAGACCATTGCCTGATATCTGTCAAGGTGCCACAGGCCAAAACCCCTCGACCATTGGTGGTCAAACGCAGGGTCTGGCACTATGGGTCGGCAGATTGGGATGGTATGCGCGATTACTTTGCGTCTGTCCCTTGGAAGCAGCGCTGCTTCAATGAAAAGGACCTATCATCCAGTGCCGTTGCCATTACTGAGGAGATCGTAATGGGAATGGAGTATTACATTCCACATTCTGATCTCATCAGTAAGGGCACACGTAACCGCTGGTTCAATCGCGATTGTGCCGATGCTGTTTCTCGTAAGCAGGCGGCATATCGCGCTTGGATCAGAGGCCGCGCTCTTAACGATCCCGGGGTTAACTCATTGAAAGCTGCCTATAATAGTGCTTCCAAGTCTTGTAAGAAGGCTTACATTAGAGCGGATGCCCAACGTGTAGCACGTACTGGCCACGAATTGTTAACGCACCCTACGGGCTCCCGTAGTTTTTGGCGTTTGGCTAAGGCCGTGCAACACAACTTTTGCCAGCCCTCGCTGCCACCTCTGCGATGTCCAGATGGGTCACTAGCTCATGAGCCGCAAGAGAAAGCCGATTTGTTGGCAAAGCTCTTTGCGGCTAACTCCCGAATCAGTGATTGCAATGCACTGCCACCTACACTACCTCATTGTGGCACTACGATGCCTGACATTAAAATCAGGCAGCGTGATGTTCGTGCGGAATTGCAATCACTCGACGTCCGGAAAGCTAGTGGACCCGATGGCATCCCAGCAGTTGTTCTAAAACATTGTGCAGCGGAGTTGTCTCCCGTGCTTACGCGACTGTACCAACTCTCTTACTCTTTGGGGCGTGTGCCGGAGGCTTGGAGAGACGCCAATGTGCAACCGGTGCCCAAAAAAGGGGACCGCTCAGACCCGGCCAACTATCGGCCGATAGCTGTCACCTCAGTGTTGTGTAAAGTCTTAGAAAGGGTCCTTAACAACCATCTGACCCGCTACCTAGAAGATTATTCTCTAATTCACGATCGTCAATACGGATTTAGGCCGAATCGATCGACGGGTGACCTTCTAGCGTACGTGACACACATCTGGGGTGAAGCTATAGACAAGCGGGGAGAGTCTCTGGCTATTAGCCTTGACATCGCCAAGGCTTTTGACAGGGTCTGGCACAAGAGCCTTCTCTCCAAGCTTCCTGCATACGGTCTGCCTGCTCAGCTCTGCGCCTGGGTGGCTGACTTCCTGCATGAGCGTAGAATTCGCATCCTTACGGACGGATGTAGTTCGCAGTTCATGTCAGTGAATGCCGGTGTTCCTCAGGGTTCCGTTCTATCCCCCACACTCTTTCTGCTGCATATCAATGATTTGATTCCACTTGCGAATATTCATTGCTATGCAGACGATAGCACAGTGCATGCGAGATACTTTGGACACGCGGCGGCTGGACAGGTAGAAACCAAGGAGAAACGGGAGAATCTTGTCGTTGAGCTCAATCGGGCTTTAGACCACATTTCCGAATGGGGTACTAGGAACTTGGTTGATTTCAATACCAAGAAAACTCAGGCTTGCGCTTTCACGGCAAAAACATCGCCATTCCTTCCCCTTCCCTCTCTTCAGGGCACAACACTGGCGCTACAAAGCAATATTACCATGCTCGGTATGGAAGTTCGCTCAGACCTGAATCCAAAGGACTACATCGAAACGTTGATCAAAACAGCTTCACGCAAACTCGGAGTCCTGAACAAGGTGCGGCGTTTTTTCACGCCCGATCAACTGTGCTTGTTGTACAAAACACAAGTGCGGTCCTGCGTGGAATATTGCTCGCACCTCTGGGATGGCTCCGCAAAGTACTTACTCGATGCCTTGGATAGGTTGCAGCGGCGCGCTGCCCGCATCATTGGCGATGAAGAGGCAACTAAGAAACTCGAGTCTCTACAATTACGCCGTGATGTGGCATCATTAAGCGCATTCTACCGAATATACCACGGCGAGTGTTCTGAGGAGCTATTCTTGCTTATCCCTCCATCACCTTTTTTTCAGAGGACCACGCGCGCTGGCCTACGTTGCCATCGACTTACTGTGGCCACTATTCCTACACGAACAAAGAAATTTGGCGACTCATTTCTTTGTCGTACTATTCGTAAGTGGAATTCTTTACCCGCGCACGTGTTCCCTCCTTCCTATAATCTGGGGTCCTTTAAGAGAGGCGTGAAGAAGCATTTTTGCGGGCCGGCAAGGTGAGGATGGTTGGTGTAGCAGTTAATAACTGCTGTACCAGCTATCTTCGCGTTTGGACTTTATCACCACTTAACATCAGGTGGGGTAGAGTCATTTGCCTACCTAGTAATATAAAAAAAAAAAAACCGCCCTAAACCAAGGCGACTGCTCGCAGTCCACGCGTCAACAGCTAGCAGGCACCTAGCTGTCCACGCGCCGACAGCTAACTGTCAGAAAATTAGTTGGTAATAATGCAAAAATGGCCTAAGTACTAGCAGTCAGCGCACGGACACCGCGCAGACCACTTGCTTGCGGCGCGTGGTAAGGCGTCAACTGTCGAGCTGTCTGGCGGCGGTAAGCTCGGTGACAGCGAGCTGTCTGCTAATTAATGTTGCCAATGTAAAGAATATCTAAACAGCAATATTTATATTAAATTCTTTTTGCCGGACAGGAGCGGAGTCGTGTAAGTGGGCTAAGACCTTTAGGCATTGCTTTAGCAAAAAAGGCGACACTACAAAATAGATGATGTAATTGCCACAAGCACTAACAGTGGGAAGGAGGTAGATGCTCCCACCACGCACCCGCCCACTTCTTGCAAGGTTATAAGTGACTAGTCATAGCTCTATTTTGGGACTGAATTTAATTGATTTCTCAGAAAGGTATGTATTATGTAATTTAAGATTTTTATTTACTGACATAAAAAAAAATCCTTTAAAGATAATTAAAAAAGAAATATTGATACTCATTATAGTGACAAAAACTACACATTTGGTAAAAATATGTATAAATAATCTACCTATTACTGCTCACTCTTGAACCCAGTATCTCAATACTGGCCTCTGATTTACAGACAAATAGGTAGATCATTAGGGTAAAGATTTTTTTTTTAACATGAAAAATGTTGTTTGTCCCATGTACCGCATTCGAATCGAATCAGCATTCTTCCTATCAGATTGAGAGCAATGACTATTATGTTACCGGGACCTTAGCATATTGTTTAGAGCAATAGTGATTTATTTCTAGTTACAAAATCTTCATTTATAAAACTGTAGCAGTAACTATATAAATATATACTTAATTGTCAATATATCTTAGAACACATACCTTTGTTCGGGGTTTTGGTAAAATATGGTGATAGCATACTGAAGGACACGTGGTCGAGCGCGGAGTGGATATCGCTTAATGCCAGTGTCACGAAGTTGCATGCCGAAGGCCATCTCAGCAATAGGTTTGCTTTTCTAAAAGCAAATGGTTTTTTAATTGTGATAAACATTTATTACTAAGGGTAAGTTCACACCGAGACGCGACGCGACGATAACGAAAGAGGCCAGTGATTTCGCGCTGCGCCGTGCGCCGCCGCGAGGAGAATCGAAGAAGCGCCGCTATTACATGCCGTGCATACTGGCGATGCACCGCTGCGTCGCGACGCATCGCTCTAAGCCGCCAAGTGATCGAGACGCAGCGCTGCGCGGTACAAGGCATTCTGAATTCTCACAATGAAATGTGTATCCTTTCGTGTAGTTAATAATAATAATAAATATTTTGAACACTCACACCAACTACTCTAACCTCAAAGTAAGCACTGTAAGGCTTGTGTTATAGGATGCTAGGGTAACGGATAGAATACATATACTGTACATAGATAAGTATATTTATGTAGAAATACATATTAAACATCCATGAATGGAGTACAAATGCTCGTATTCATCACACAAACATCTGCCCCCACCGGGATTAGAACCCGGGGGGACCTCTCGAGTCAGCGACATCATGAAAACCGGTGTACGAGGTGTGAGGTCGTCAGAAATAAAGTTAAGCGTCGCGTCTCGGTGTGAACTGACGCTTACACAGTATGTACAATGGGACTGCGGGTGAGGTCGAATATCTGACAGAAAAATATAAGAGCTGTTTAATACCGTAATTATTTTATTAACATCGAATACAGGTGGACCTAAGGAGATAATTTTGTTTAGTGGATTAGACATTGTTAGGGTTCCGTACACAAATGTTGCTAACAGTACCCTAAATAGGTGTCTACGCTGGACATCTGTCCGGTCTTTTCTGACAGCCCGCTGCTTTTATCGAGAAGCGTAAAATTGTTTTAAAAATTCACATAAAAGGCCAGCCAGGTTTACAGCAGTCGCATGTTTTCAATACAGTATTTAATTATAATACAGTTACTATACTAATGTTTATCGGAAATTATATGACAAAAGTTTCACCTACTTGATATTTGAAAATAGTATTCACGATGTTAGGGTCTAGTGAGAAAGATTGCAAGCTCTGTTGCCACAGGTTCGCTGGCGATAACAATAAGCAGCTGTATTCGGGTAGCACCTGCTCAAAGCTCGCTTCGCCGTGACGTCGCTTGATGCCTTCGATTTGGTAGCAATGGTGTAGCAGAGTACTCTTTCTACAATGTAATTAAATAATATGACATTTAATTAATGCCCTAATTGTATATGTGAAGAAATGTCAACATTATACTAGAGATAAATCACCTAACAGATAATTAAGAAGTGATCTTCAACGAAAACATGTTTTTTTTATTCTCATAACACACACCTTTTACGTTGTATTAATATTTTAATTTGGCTTAAATGCTACATATCATATAAAAGTTTGAAAAACCAGGTCAGAGATGTAACATGTTACTTTATTTTGTCTATTGATTCTAGGAAGGTTAAGAACTTTGGTCAAATCGGGCAGGCTAACTCATGTCATGGGTTCGACAGTATATAACTTGTTACCTAAGTTGGTCACTGACGCCAAGTCGCTTAATAATTTTAAACATAAATTAAAATTATGGCTCATTGACAGAACCTTTTATAGTGTCGATGAATTTTTAAATGATAGGTCCTTACATTAATTGGACTAATTATTATTTTTTTATAATATTGAATGATTATTAATTTATTAATTCATTTTATTTTTTGTTTTATTATTTCTATTTGACATTTGTATTTTGACATATTTGTATTTGACATTTTGAATTTTTTCTAAGTAAAAATATTGTATTTTAATTGTTTTGACTTCGTAATGTACTTTTATATAATTTGAAATATTGAATTATTTGAATGATTACTTAGTACTTTATGTATTTTCTGTTCTGTTTATTATTGACGTGTAATTTATTACGAAATAAATGATTATGATTAATATTGAAACGGATCGTTTGTAACGCTACGCTCATTATTAGAAATTAGAAACAATTTTTTTTACAATTAAATATAATAAACTACAAATTCAACGCCATGCCAACTTGTAACGGATGTTACAAGTTAAGTTTTAGATGTTACGTACGAAATGAAAAGTGTTTAAGTAAAATTTCCTTAATTTTAAACATATTTTATAGAAATTTCTTGTATCCTTCTAAATCTTAAAATCTGTTCTACTAATAAAATACAATGGGTGAATTCGCCCCTATTGATAAAAGTTGGATTTGGTAAAATCCCAAATGGTAAAATAATTTAGAAAAACGATTGCATTGTTATGATTTTCATTGCTAAATATACTTTTGCATCATTTCTGACTGTTTTACAGATACATTACCAAGATTTAATGTTTCTGTTCAATAACCCAACTGATCTAAAATATTTTCCTAGCTTCAAAACAAACAGATATAATTCTTCAAAATATATGAATCTGAGATAAGCTTAAAAAATACATGTAATATGCCACCTGCGGGTGTACAGGTTTATTCTTGCTATAATAAAATTATCATTACTCGCAAGATTAGCATAACACAATAAAGATTGCTAGAAAACAATCATAACCTTACTTTCTTACAATCATATTATTGTCGTCACAATAAAGCACTAGATACGTGCTTATACCTTATTAAGCTTTTTTGTAACCAGTGTTACAGTGATTTGTCCCAGAGAAAACTCAAAAAGTAATAATATCTTTTTCATCCCACCACCTCGGAAAGTGTAATTTTGCGCTTCGAAATCTGGCTGGAAAATTCTATTTTATTCGCTTGAGCGGCAAAGTAGATTTGAATTTAGAACATCACATATAATGAGTACTCAATATAATTGTAAATTCAAAACGTCATTAAACCTATTTAATGTAACCTCTATGGTGCCAAATTTATGATTAGAACTTTTTAAATTGTGAAAAAATTTAAATTTGGAACCTTCTTGGTTTCTTTGTTTTATTTGCGTGCTTCGCGCCATTCTAGTTTTTCACGTTTTATTGCTTAAATATTTTGTCATTATAAATTGTTTTCTTTTTCATTTTGTCATTTCCTCGCTGAGGTGGGATGAAAAGTTACGTATTGCACTCGAGTGGAAAGATTTTTCACCTTGTGCTCGTTTGTTTCCCTCGCTGACGCTCAGGATTCTAATTTAGAATCACTCGCTGCGCTCGTGATTCAACTTTAGAATCCTTCGCTTGCTCGGTCATCCAAATCGAGCACGCGGTTAAAAAGGAACTTTCCACTCTTGTATAATAAATAACTATTATTTACACAGTGTACACAGTTGAGAGATCTCGCCATGCATCAGTTTTGATTTCTAATGATTTTATGTATTCACTTCTGCAAATCTATGTAAGAAACATCACTAGGAGAAAAAGTTTTGTTGTTAGTTATCATTTAGAAAAACATTTGTTGAAGTGAAACTTCTTTATCGGCGTTGGAAAAAAATTTACCGTCACATTTTTCGGTTACGCGTCACATTTTTCCGTTACGCGCCATCTTTTTTTATATTAATAGTTGATAGCTGAATGATCACACTGTCGCCGGTATCTCGCTCAGCGATACTCGCTCAGCGATACTCGCTCAGCGATACTCGCTCAGCGATACTAGCTCAGCGATACTCGCTCAGCGATACTAGCTCAGCGATACTCGCTCAGCGATACTAGCTCAGCGATACTCGCTCGGTTAAGCTGGCTTGGCTGTCAAAAGCCGTGCGCGTGCATTTTAACACAGGACTGCCAATTCGTTTCTAGTTTCTACTCGCTTATCGTTCATCGTCGGAGGTGGAACATGTGCCTTAGATTACTGAGCCGTGTAATCATAACAGTTTCATAGGCAGTAATTTGTATTCATGTCTATGATAATAAAATCCTTTTGTTTAAACTTTATCTAATTTAACTTTATTTAACCAATTTCTGGAAAGTTGCATGTAGATCATTTTTCGAAAAATAAGGCCATAAAGAAGTTTCACTTCTTACGTGTGTAGACTAGTACACGCACACATTTTTTTTTTTAAAATAGCTTTTTATTAAATTCTGGTGGTTTTGATGCCTTTTTATTAATTTAACCTACAAATTGAGTAGATATTCGCAATTTAACAAAACGGACAAAGGTCGCATGAGAAATGGAATGACTGTCTAGGTAGGTAGGTTATTAATTTATCAGTGCATTATATTTTACATCGCAATCACAAAGTTATGATAATCCATGTTTTATTCGCAATGCAGAGACATGTACACATAATTCGCAAGGCGTAAAGGAAAAATATCATGATCTGAATTTTTTTATATTTCTACAGGCAAGTAATATATGTATAGTATTTTTAATAGATGTAAAAATATAAAAGAATCAAAATGTTCATTGAGATTGTATATCTTATTACAACTAGCGATTATTAAGCAATAAGGATTATGCTAAAGAAGTTTGAATTGAATTGTGTATCCCTTTAGTTCTATTGTTTACTAAATGGAGAAAAATATCCATTAATTACAACTGAACAGATAAAAATGTTGTTCAATGTTAATGATTGAATATAACGGACAAATAAATCTTAAAGTCTGTGTAGTTCTAAGATGAGTTTTACAATGAGTTCTAATTATAAGACTGCAGACAGCAGTATAATGCATTAAATTTATTAGCATTTGGTGGGATTTTGAGGAATGTCTAAGAACAACTAATTATGTGGAAGGATGGCAGTTTATACCTTAATAATAATTGTAAAACTTGTCTATAAAACAACTTTTATATGGAGATATGCAGATCTAATTAATCTGATTTTAATTAAGGCTAAGTTAAGAATTTTTATTGTTTTGTAAACTTTATTGTTTTTTGCACTGTTCCAATGAAAAATAATAATGAATGGAATTGTTTTTTAACTTTATTTAATGGATTTTCAAATGACACCAATATTGTTGGAAATGCGTGTGTTAAGGGTTATAATAACACTTGAAATTTAAAATAACTTTCAAGTGTTTTCGAGGAGGTGCGATTTTTTCGATGATCTTATACCCCTTCTTTATTTTTTGGGTCTGTACCATAATTGTGTTCTATTAGTTGAACAATGTATTATAGTAGAACAAGAAGGAAAGTTGAATAGAACAGCATAGTTGGGTGTTTAGTATATTATTATGTTTTTAGGACTACTTTACTAGAATATAAAAAAATACTAAAATATATATTAAATCTGATGTAAATACCAGGGCAACATAACTCCAAATGAGGTTTTTGTCCATTTAGTCCTAGGCAAAGTATTGTCCCTTGAGTTCAATTAAATTCATACTGCAGACAGTAGGACTAAAAAGATATTTTTCTCACTTTAGTCCAACTAGTAGAACTGAACAGTAAAACTAAACATATACAATCACTAGTACACCTAAACAAAACTTACGTATCAGAATCTTCATGGTTGCGTATAGTTTCCAGTATTCTAAACACTTCCTGAAGGGGTGCTCTGAATGCATCCCACATTTTAAGATTATTGTTCCAAGGTGACACACCTGTAAATATAATATCTGTTTCCACATGTTGCAAAGGTTTATCATTTTTACTAAATACTTGGTATTGTTTGACGGTTTAATGACTGTTGTATGATGTCATGTGCTAGTGACACTCCTAAATGGAGAAAGAAATGTTTTAGCGGCAGTGTAATATTATATAGCCTTAAGCTTTCTTCAAAAATTCACTAACTAACACAAAAAGATTTTTTCAAATCGGACCATTAGTTCCTGAGATTTGTGCGTTAAACCAAAAAAAATAGTGCATTCTGTGCAACATCCTAAATTACATAACAAAAATTTCACTATCAGTTTAATTGAATTTTCATGGGAGGTTCATAATTATATAAAGAAATTCCTTTTGTATAATACAAGCCTGAGAACAAAAACTATTGTCTACACTACAGCTCTACACCAAAGCGAAGTGAGGGCGGGCCACTAGTGGATTTTAATAATCATTATTAAATAATGTGAGATAATTTTATAAAACTTGTCAAATACCCTGTGGTGTCTAATTACGTGAAGATTCTGCCAATGACCAGGATTCCTATTCTAAAGGGAGTGAAAAGGAGACTGTTGTCAAGTTTACATATGGCAACTATGAATAGTCAAGTGAAGTGCTGGCATAACATCAACTATTGCAAATAATTGGTCTGTCAACCAATAAAATAATAGCATGTATAAACACTTATTTCTGTTATTTACTTAGTGCAAGTTCTATTCAGCTTGGGCTTGTAATAAATTGTGCAAGTTGCATGAAAACTATTATTATGACTATTTACTGATACTTATGCTATTCAATTTGTTCATACCAATTTTCATGATTATTTGATGCACATAGAGCAAAGGCTTCTCTTTCACCCAGAGATAAGGAAGTTTTTGTGTCTCATTCAGTAGAGTGTTCAGCTGCTCAGATATATCTGTTGGAAGTAAGGATTTTATTTTTTATGATAGGTAGATATACTACACTAGTTAAACTTTTGTCTAACCAAATAAAACACAGGGTAATCTATACTTATAATAAATCTGTAGAGGTCAATTCTGTACATGAAATATATTTTCAAAATAACTATCAGGGGGTGATAAGTGATCGATACTGATGCCAAAAATGCAATCAGTAGAATTTTTGTCTGTCTGTGTGTATGTTCCTTATAGAAACAAAAACTACTCGACGGATTTTAACGAAACTTGGTACAATTATTCTTCATACTCCTGGGCAGGTTATAGTATACTTTTCAACACGCTACAATCAATAGCAGCAGAGTAGTGAAGGGAAATGTTGGGAAAACGGGAGAAGTTACTCCATTTTTTAAGCTTCCGTCGCGTGTGGAGCCTTAATGGTTAAAGTTACATAGAAATCATGTATGACGGAAATATTCTACATAAAATTGTCTAAAAAATATCCCGCAACAGCATATGTCTATCTTTTATGGTTGACTCACAATAACACGTGTAACTCCTGATAGCTTAGCAGTTCGGAGCATTCTGATTATATTTGTTTACTCTTACGTTTATAATACTCTCACTCATCCCTAATTTAAAAAAGTTAACATTATTACCTATTCAATAAAAAAAGAATCATAGAAATCGGTATAGAAACATCAAACTTATACATGAATTAAGCCATCGCGCCGTCGCACGTGAATACTGAATCATGCTTTAAGGATTATTTTTGTGTAACGGCTGCCGCGCTCGACACGGGTCGTGGCGGCGCGGTAGGGTATAAAAAGGCGGGAGGTCCGAAAGCGAGCTTCCCCGCCCCGCCGATCCTGAGAGACCTTCAGTCGCTCAGTCCCAAACCGATACGGATGCACATCAGGGTGCATCCGTCCTCTAAGCGCACTATGCGGTAGTATTTACTATAACTCTACAGCCGGCTGTAGGGTATCCATGAGGATTTCACACCCGCTCCCCCGCCTGGGAGGAAACAAAAAAAAAGAAAGCGAGCTTCATTCAATATTTGGCTGTTGATGCGTTCAGAGCATTCGACCTTATTGACAGACAATAATTGATTGCTTATCTTAGAATAAAAACCAAACATTTGTAAACAAAATTAGCAAATAAATCATGTAAAACGTGTAGAAAATGAGTACTGGAAAACGGAAATATGAGAATTTTAGTTTGGTTATAAATACAGGTAATAAAAATGACCGTTATTATCTATATATGTATATAAAAGTCAAAGGTGACTGACTGACATAGTGATTTATCAACACACAGCCCAAACTACTGGACGGATCGGGCTGAAATTTGGCATGCAGGTAGATGTTATGACGTAGGCATCCGCTAAGAAAAGATTTTGATCAATTCTACCCCCAAGGGGATAAAATAGGGAATGAAAGTTTGTATGAAACTTTGTCAATTTTAAACCGATCGGGCTGAGACTTTGCATGCAGGTATAAGAAGAATCATAGATGAATGTCATTGTGTATAATACAAGCCTGACAACAAAAACTGTAGTCTATACTTCAGCTCTACACCGAAGCGAAGCGAGGGCGGACCGCTAGTAGCAAATATAATCTCACTTACAGTTTTGTAATGAGAGAGATGCATTAAACACAACTATAAAACAATAAATAGAGTAACTACAACACTAAAGACATAACGTAGCTTACCATCGCTCTGGAAGCAACTTTTGGTGTTACAATCAGCTTGCAGTGGATTTTTGAAATTGTCCATATGCCATGGTAAATTCACAACAGTAGGGATGTTTCCTGGGAGCGGTACGTTGAGTAAAGGATAACTATGAGAAAAATAAAAATATTATTAACACGAAATGTCTTTGAAACAAACAAAGTAAGGTATACATACCAGCACAGTAGAACTACAGATAGCGATAACGTGATCGCAATAACTGGGTAAGATGAACAAAATAGACCATATGTATAATAGATCTGAGCAACCCGTTCAGGTAAAGTTGCCCCGGCCATTGCTTTCCAGAATCAAATAGTGTGTTTACAGTCCGAGAAACTACGTTTAAGATCAACAACCATTTGCACAAAACGTACGTCAGTAGTGAGTTTCAACACCGTTTTTCTTCAGTTATTATGTTACCAGCGTTATGTTTATGGTTGATTGCATTTCCAGAAGTAGTAAGTACGATTATTTGAATATTTCGCATTATGTATGGCATGGATGTGCCGCTTATTCACTTCACAAGCAAGTATTACATCAACTCAACAACCACGCAACTTTGACATCAGGCTCTACAATCTCAATACATTTGACATGTTTCAGACAGTGCAAACACCCTACTGAGTTATAAATGCATCATGTTTCTTAAAAAATCCCATCAGTAAAATGCTTTTGAAATTAGTCGTGTTATATATTAATATTTCGGTGTCTTGGTCACAGGTAGCGTTGATGTGCAATATAAAACAATAAATTTAAAAAACGTAGATTTACATGGTTTGTCAAGGTGTTTGGTGTTCTTTTAAATTTTGTAATATAATATTAGCATAGAATATTACCATATCAAACTTCATCTACCAAAAAGGCATTTTTTTAAATATGCGCATTAATAATTATACAATGCTATTAGAGTAATATTTTAATTTACATTTACATATTTCAAAATAATTAAAAATTATGATCTAACGGACTTTTATTTAATTTCGAATGAGTGCGATATTTTATTTTCGACGTTAAAAATAGGAGCTTTAATAATTGTTTCTGGTGGCAACATTGGATGTGGTTGTTATGTTTGAAAATAAAAATGCCGGTCACTGTTGTTGAGTGATCGATCTTGCGCTTGCGTTTCGTCTTCATAACATACTTCAGTGACTCGAATATTTTGTTGTTTTCTGCCAAGTTCGTTGAGTAAAGCAATCATCCGGCTTGGCTAAAATACGAATTGTTCTTTGAGTGTTGATTTTGTTCGAGATAGGACTCTAGTGTGCTATTGTGCATCTCATCATGTCGAAAAGAAATTGCTGTGTTCCTGGATGTCCAGAAAGTGGAGGTTAGTTCAACAATCATTGCTGAATACATTGCTTCCTTACTATCCTTTACAAATGAATGTCAATATTGTTCGGGAATGTTCAACAATGATTACAACCTGAAAGGCTTCTAACTGAAATAACTGATTACACAAGATATTTATACTTATGTAAAAGAGCATCATCAGTAACAATGTTACACATTCAATTTTCTCACTGAGATGACCCACACTTTAATACAAAAGTTCAACTATAAAGATTTTTTTATAATTTTCAAATATTATTCATGACGGTTTTTTTCATTGATCACCTAAAATGTTGATGTTCTTGTCTGTATTTAAAATCCAACATAAATTAAACTGCTACATTTACAAGAAAATATGTAGATTATTACTTATTTTATTAAATGATAGGTTTATTCATATGTATTTGATCATTAGTAACAATTAAGACCCCATTGAAACATCTTTTTGGCTTAAACATTGAATCAAGAGTTTTTGGTAAAACAATGTTGTGTTTAATGTGGCAGTATCCAATTCCATATTTTTGTGTTTTTTATTTGTTAGGTAACTATGCCTACTTTTTTCAGATTCGCATCCTGTTCTACATGCATTTCCTAATCCTGAGAATGATCTTGATCGATTTCAATCATGGGTACTTGCAATTGGTGGTGAAATATGAGGTCTGGACAACACTTGGATTTATAAAAACCGTCGAGTTTGTCATCAACATTTTGAAAATCATTTCTGTTACTACTCTAACAAGCTCAGTCGATTGGCAATCCCAACAAAAATATTAGCATAGAATACCAGGTTAGTTTACAGTTTATTGTACATAACTTTACTAAAAATATACTTTAAATGCTGGCTAAATAGGCAAATTAAATGGACATAGCGATTACATTTAATTAAATTTGTTTATTTTAAATTTAGTATGAAAAATCATTATCTTTGTATTTACCCTTTACCATTACATTGAGAAGTGTAATTTTTTTTTTTTTATTAAATACTGATTTGGGTATTATTGCATTATAGGACCTTCAACAATATCAAAGTTTACTTTTAGTGGACAGAGATCTATGACAGACATTGAAGAGAATATGCCAACAACATCAAAAGGTAATATTAATATCTGCTTAACTTAAGATGAAAAACTAGCTTAGACATAATATACACAAAAACTATAAATATAAAATGTACCTAGTTTTAATTAGGTAATTACTTGCAGCCACCCGCGACTTTGTATGGAACATTTAAGTTTTGACGGTCCCTAGCTAAAAATAAAGTTACACTGAGCAAAAAGTTTTTACACAGTTTTGAAGCTGATTTATTAACAATCTATTTTGTTTGTGCTTGAAATTGTATTGTTATTACTTTTAAAACTTATAACACTAAGTGGGCCGATAGATTTGTCCAGAAGTCTATATGCGTACCAAATTTCATCAAAATCCGTTCAGTACTTTTTGCATGATTCAGTAACAAACATACAAACTTTCATATTTACAATATTTGTAAGATACATTAAAAAATAAAATGTATGTATATGCATATATTCTATATAATTGAAAGTCGTTTCTGTGGAATTATAACACTACACCACCTAAAACACATTAATCATACATTCAGATCTGATAGTGACAGATTTATAGTTGTTTATCATGATAAAATAATGTTTATAGTGTAGTATAGACTATATTTGGATATGTTCCAGCTTCCTGTGGAATCTTTGACATGGATATTGATGATGAAAAACTAAAGACTTTGCAAAGTTCTGCTTCAATCACTGAATAATCTGAAGACATAGACATTATTAGTAAGTATTCATTATTTTCCTTCAAACAACTAGTTGATGCAATGATAGTGATCACACATTTTACTCTAATGATCCTAGATTCAGTTTCCGGTAGACCCATTTATTGTGTGATGAGCACAACCTGACCAACATGAGCAGAAGTTCATGAGTCATGGTTGTTTATATCGGTCTTTATATAAATAAAAATAAATCGCCAAAATGTATGTATGAGCATAACTTTGACCAATTATACCAAATTGGATAAAAGTTATTTTTGTTGTGTTGATTATATTGTTAGGATGAATCTTTTAACAAATTTTTTTATACAAATACAAAAGAAAATTGTATAAAAATTCAAACCATTTTATTATCTCCTCATTTCGTTTCAATGAGAAAGAAGATTGTTGGAGCTCTACAATTATTGACAAAACATTGACAGCAGGCAAAAGTAGTTTAACAAGTCTCAGGAACTTTGAAAATATTCAATAACCAGCTCAACTAGAAATATATAAACAACCATTACTAAGGAACAAATGCTATATGCTAATATATTATAATACTGTCTGTTATTTAGTTTCCATAGAGCAAGCTCTTCTCTGTTTAGGTACTAAAAAATTGTTGTGAGTTGTCCCAAATTTGTTACTATCATTTTTATCTCTCTACCCGTAACACTGTTCAGCACTGCTTAATAAGTATGTTTTAATAATAATAATGTTTATTTATTAAATTTTACACTGGATATTCTATTTTAGATGTTTAGCTCTTATTATTATTTCTATTATCTCATTGTTTCAATGCTGGGCAAAGGCAGGTACAAATAACAAGAAGCTATCTTACCTTTATAACATGTGTATATTGACGTAAAATATTCTTGTTTATTTTTTCAGAAAAGGGAATTTTGTCTACAGAATGTAGGGACACTGCTGATCTACTAATTATGTTTGATAACCTATTCGACAGCATGAACGAAGTTATAGTAAAAAAGAAAAGCATGGGAAGCCATATTTAAGAGCTGTAACATCAACATCGGCACATAATGAGTTGTGGTGCCAAACAAAAAGAATTTTAAATTCAATGAAATTTGTTGATGAATCAGGCAATACAAAAACCACACCAACCTTACAAAACTTCATATGGACAATTGAAGGTTTACAATATTTAGTTAAAAAGTTAAACAAACATAATATTACATCGTTTTGGACTAGACACCTTAACCAAGACCCTCTTGAAAATTTATTCGGGTCCATTAGAAGCCATGGATACCGAAATAATAACCCCAGTCCAGCTGCATTTCGCTCAGCTTATATGGCCTTATTGATTAATAATATGTCAAGTGTGCATGCAGCCGGTTCAAATTGTGAAAATGATTTTTGTGAGTCACTTGAGGCTTTTGTGATACATTCTGGGATTAACACTGATCAACACGTCCAAGATGTCAATATGGAGGATTTATTAATTAATGTAACACCTTTAGAGGAGAAGAAAAAGAATGTTAAAGAAATTGCCTCATTGGCATATGTAAGTGGATTTTTGTTAAAAAATTGTAAAAAACGCATTTTTAAAAATTGTAGGAAATGTAATGATGCATTATTTAGTAAAGTAAGGATAACGAATATTTAAAATATAGAGAGTACTCTGGACGTGGTTGGCTTTGTTATCCCAGTGACGATTTTGTTTATGTGGTTTCACAAATTCAAGACATTTTTGATAAATTAATTAAAGAAAAATATGCCAACAAAAATTTATTACAATATATGAAACTGGTCATTGAGTTTTCAATAGATAATCGTAATATCGCAGTATGTGTTAATCACAAAATTCGTTTAAAGTAAAAGTTTTTATATAATTACTCTTTAAGATTTTTTGTACGACATTACTGTAAAGATATAAATAAAATTTTCTGGTAGAAGAAAGAAAGACAATGTTAACGTCTATCTGCAAAACCAAGCCGAAACTTACTTTGTGAAATGTTTAAAAACAAAAAATAAAAATAAATAAATATGAACCCAGTTTTATTTTATAGAACCTTTCTTTCCGTTAAAACTAGATATCTTATTGTGAGGTTTGCTGAAGTTTTATTATTCTATTTAAGATATATTCTGTTTTGTATATATTTAATATAATATTCATATTATTTTATAAAATATCAGTATTCACCCAGCAAACCTCATAGTAATAAAAAAGTAAAATGAAAATAGAAATTGAGCAAGCTAAGTATGCAGACTGATACAATACGAATATAATTTTGTGTGTGGCAGATAGATGGCGCTAGAGACTTGTTAACAAAAAATGCTGGGAAGATTGGTCTCTTTTTCCAGTATATATAAGTACTCTTTGTTTGACATCATTCTTCATTTGACATTTTGAACTGACAGTTTATTATTTGTTATAATCTATTTTCTTAAAGCAAAGTAAACAAAAATCATACATTCTTAACCACAATTACTTTTTTGTAATATTATTCCACTA